AATTTATGTTTGAGTTGTAATGTAATTTGACAGGCACATATTTGAATAACAAATGTATTCATACTTTTGCTTTCACTTTCAAACTCAGAAAATGAAATGAAAATTGAGTTTTGAAATGAATTAAATTGCGCATTATTTCTTAATGAGTGCGTATATAACTTTAGTAACATATGAATTACGTACAAATTTTACAAACTTTTTGTGCCTTTACACGTTTTTTGTCTGTGATTATTCGTAAATGGCTGATACTTAGAAGATGCGATATTAAAAGGTAAGTATATAAAGAGATGAACCTCATTATTGTTTCATGTTTTTGCCTGTTTTTTGCCAGCGTCTAAAAGATGATCTTCAGACCTGAGAAGCTAGAAAAATTTCAGTTCCATCTCCTTATTTTCAAGAAGAAAGTTATAATTCTGTACTGGAAATTCGTATTTTCGTCTAATTAACTTTACTCTCACTTGCTTGTTGTTTCCTCATTCAATAATCACTCCTGTACTGTAATGCAAAAACATTGTATAGTTGTTATTGTTTCATACGAATATAATTCACTTTCATTTGTTTTCATATTCGCATGAAGTAAAGCATTGCAAATACAGTTTGAATTTGTTAAGAATAGATCATATTTGTTTGCAGCTATCGGTCGTGGACAAATATCAAAAAGAGAAAAGTTTAGAAGCGATCAGAGCAGATCAGATCTATAAAATCGTATCAGAGTAATGGTTGTCTTAGCACAACCAACTCAATGTTTTGAATGTTATAAAGTCTATTTTGGCTTATCGAAAATTGTACCAATTAAGCTAGAAGTTCAACGCAAGCAGTCAACACAAACAGTCTTGCAAAAGCGTGTCAACTGGAAGGAAGTGATGTCTGAAGTTGTCGACGTTAGGGTTTAAGTTTCTTCAAGTTTTTTGAGAGGGGAAGAAAGAGCTGTCAAATCTGTACACTTTGGCCTGGGCTGAAAGTTACGAATATTCTATAAGAATTGTTTTCTCTGAGGAATGTGGCGCTGATGAAAAGCAGTCTGACCAATGGTCACATCACTGTCGGGTTTCGCTTTGTAATTATATGCAAAGAGGAGCAAACAGAATAATTGGGACATTCAATCAGCTCTGCTGGAGGTTAGTTACGCAGCGTTGAGCTCATAGCTATGATCGCAGCGAAGGTTTGCTGAGTATTGCGCAGTCACTTGCTTACTGTATCTCAGTATAAGTAAGTTCGCTTATCTGAGCAAATGCTAAAATAAATGAATAAATGAATTTGTTCGTGAAATTACGACTAACTGATTGAATTTCGGGCTGATTAATTCATGGGATTTTGTTTTTGTGTGCATTATTTCCCACTGAGCGTAGACTTTAGATCGGAGATGAAGCTTTGACTTATTTTTAGTCTCTGTGGCAGCTTCTCAAATCCATCCATCAGTCCATCAATCGCTAAGTTATTTTCAACGCATAAATCAGCTGCTGCCTACGTGTTGCGTAGAAAAACACACAGAATGCTATCTTTTTCCTTCACAGCTCTGACTTTTCCTCACGTACGCTTACCTAACTTATTTCTTTCGACTTTTTCTCCGAACTGTGGAATTATTTGTATATTATTCTCATGAAAACAACTTTTTACTAATATATTAATTATTATTCCGGCAGACTTACTTTCTTGCATCACACTGCACCTGACTTAGCCGGTTCCACTGCACCTTTCTTTCTTCACATCAGCGAACAGATGATGGGATGTTTATATTTCTGTTAGTCAGCTAGTGTACAAACTTACGTAGTTTTTTCTCTTCACACGCATACGTGACCGCCTCTTGAATGCACAATACTCTTCTCACGTGTTTGACGTGTTATCCTTAATTCGGAGTGATTTCAGAGGTAGTGAT